CCACGAGCCGGGCCAACCTGTTGGCCGCGTTCTGCAACGGAAAATCCATTAATTTTTTTTTCAATTTTTCCTTTTTCTCTTCCGACCGTTTTTCTGCCCCAAACATTTCGTTCCGGGTCGACGGGTACGTACGATTTTAAACGTCTGCCCCTGTGCAGCGATAACCCGAACGTTTTCATCGGTCGCACACCGTCGGCAGTGCCGTAAAAACCGAATGTGCGCAGCGCGCATTGCACACAGGTCACGGGCTTCAAAACGTCAAAAGCTCAAAAACGTATAACGATAACGGACCTCAAGTTTTTGATTTGCGCACAGGCTTCCGGTAGTTTAATTACTGCACCGACTGTCGACAAGTCGAAGGAACGAAACGCGCCCCCCACCTCCGCGCGATTGGACCCACGGAATCCGGTGTAAACGGAATCCTGTGTAAGTGAATAACCGAAATCAAAAATAAACCACGTATTCGCGGGTTGTATGGTGAAATATCATTTTCTGGCTAAATCGAATTTTCTCGCAGTTTTTTTTTTTTTTTTATTCTATTTTACTCCAAATTCCCATCAAATTATATTCAACAACAACGAAATAATAAATTGACTACAAAAAATGTCATTGTTTGTTTGTACAAAACATCGGGTGGGCACAATCAAAGGAACATCCTTAATGTAATATTCGAATATTTATTATGAACATCAAAGCAAGGCACTCATAGAAAAAAAATCGTATTGAACTTGGTTTATAACGTAAAAGTTACCTGATAGGGCCACAATTATTTACCATTCTTATCGTACACTTCTTTGTCATATATCACTCGTCACTTCTATACCTCAGTACGCTCACTTCCGTTTCCTCGCCATTTGTTAACGCGTCACCGTAATCTACTTGCACATGGAAACCAACCGAAGATTCAAGCGCAAAACTTATCTATTTCCACTACCACAGATTTTTGAAACGGCAATGGTCGTGGAAGGGTTATTTTCATGGTGACAATAATTATGAAGCTGTTACAGCTGAATATTTCGATGTAGGTGCAGGTTTCGTTTACGTATACCGTACCTGTACGACGGTGCCGATGGCTTGCGATATACCAGTGACGGCCGTGAAACTGGGACCGAAAAGCCTGTCCGGGACCTGAAGAGAGACTTTGTTGGCGTCAAAAGTCACCTCAGAATCGTCTTCCAGCCGCCCATCCGCCGGCTGCGCGACGGCCGAAGACTGTTCTTGGGCTAATACTTGCTGGTCACTACCGGGTGAACCCGAAGCTAGGAAGTCATCGTCGTCCTGCAAAAACGAATGTTGCGTACACAATGGAATATTAATAATGTATTTTTTAAATTTAATTTTTATTTATAAATTAATCGTCCAAATTGTACACGTCGGATCGCCATAACCAATCTGAACAATGATCACAGACATGTGTTTCTATAGAATCGATCAACATTTTCTAAATTTCAATAGTATGCTATTATATGCAGTAGTGTACCACTTTCGATCGACGTTTAATTAAAAAATGTGCACATCACACAATTATTCCGTTAAAGTGAACTCACCCATACTTGTACTCGATAATAATCATATTCCAAGCGTTTTGTCCGCTTACGTAAAGGTGATTGAATTATAATATTATTCTGTGGAAATACATCACACTATAGCTCGTAGAGTTATGCGGATGTCTGGGAATGTGGTGGTTGTACTTACCGGCAACGATTTTTACGAAAAGCTATAAACGCTTTACGAGATGAACAATAAATGCCCACGTGCGTGAATGTTTTTATTTTTTTTTTTTATTTTTGTAAATTTTTGTGTGGGCAAAAATTCTCATTTAATTAAGCACTTCTTGCGGAGTCGAAAGAAAATCCAAGAAATATAATTTGTCGAAGGCTTCAGGATCGCCATGACTAAAAGCATTCGTATTGTAAATACTTGCATAATGATTTTTAATGAATAAGTAAAGAGTAGGAAGGTAGTAAAATAAAAGCAATATCGCATGGTCACACGACAAACAAAGGTTGGTCATTGCACATCTGTGCAAACCTTTTTATCGAGTACTGTACGAGTACTTGGTACTTCCCACGTTATAATAATACAGTACAACAGATTAGAAACGGTGTGACGGTCGAAAAATGTGTTTTATTAGCTAAATTTTTATACGAGTATATCATGATAGAATAAACATAATAATATAATATAATATGATAAATATCATCAAAAGTTATATATTATATAACTTAATCTATAGATTAAATAAAATAAAAAAAATATTCACATAAAAAACAATGTTCTTTATATTAACTATGACAATAATTATGATTTATCACCTAAAATATTACAATTGTAGTAACGTTACACGCAAATATAGTAGGATTAAACAAGGATTACGAAGGGCCATGATAATAAAAAAACATTTTTCTATGATAATTTAATAAATTTATAAATGAAAGAATAACGAATGATAACATTTTTTGCTCACGAGAATAATAATAATAATGAAGAAGAAAATAATATATAAATGTCACAACTCATATTCATAAATGCGCTGAATATCATTGATAAATCATATTTGATACATGAAAATATGCATGGAAATGTGTATTTATTTCATAGAAATTGCGTAAGAATAAAATGAATTATCAGTAGTGAACTGTTGAACAAATGTTTTGTAATTTATCATTATTCATGATAAAACAAATTATTATGTATTATATAACACCATATGTTGTGTTTAATGTAAACAAACATTTCATATTGAAATATATTCATACTCGTATTTTCTATTGTAAAATATACGTGTATATAAAATGTATCACTTGGTTGTATATATATTAATATAATATTATGTTTGTAAAATGTTTTACTTATAGGCCTTTTCAAATTTCAAAGCAATAATTTTATTTATTAATAATTAGCATTTTGATCAAAATTTGACTAAAAAATAATTATTAAAACTTTAATTAGGTTTAAAAATTAATTTGAATTTCTACTGTCCGAGTATAATGATTTCTTTGAAAACAGTTTATACTATAGTACACGCTTGTTAGGTCTCTTTGTTTAGGTTTGTCCATATATTTTTTTTTTTTTTTATAGAAATTATAGACTTCTTTGATTTTTAATTTGATATAATAATTATCATACACTTTTTCCTTTCTAAGAAAATATCTAACTATTGCAGTCGATGAGTTGAACATTACATAGATTTTGTGCTATACTTAAAAAGTACTACATATATATATATACGCATTGTAAGAAAATTTTTTGGACTAAAAATAGACTTGTTTTTTAAACGTGCTATACGAAAATTTTCTTTCACGATAAAATATGAAAACAATTAAATATGTAAAACAATCTAACCTGTTACGGTGTTCATTTTTAACATTTATTCTTATTATTCATAAATGGTAAGCGTGTGAATGCTCATCAAATTCGTAATTATGCAATGCGCATAATTTATAGCTTTTTCGTCATATTTAGTTATGGTACGTATAACTGTAAATCTTCAGCAATTAATGTCAAGAGATTTAGTGATAGTATTTCGTGTGTTGGCAACAGCTTTAAAAAACGAATCTGGCGCAACCCTTTAATAATATACAATTAGTACACGAAGCTTATGATAAAAAAATATACTGGTCATCGACTGCATATTAAACTTGTTTAATATTATTCGGTTGCTTAAAATGTTTTTTTCACGGATACAAATTACTCATTAGGCAATTCGGGCGTGGCGAGTAGCAAACGAGTAAATGGAAAAGTGATAGTTTTTTCCTCCTTTCCTATTGAACGATAACACCATTTTAATGATAATATTTTTACTGTTGATCTATTTCATTTACGAGTACAAAATACATAATACGAGTAGCCTTATCGTCCCTGTTGTCATCTCCTCTATTGCGTGAACGTTTTACTGTACATTTTGATATATTTATACTCACTGTATCGTAGTCATGTTATAAACTAGTAATAATTGTATTTTTCTAATATTTTGATTAAGAGTTATGCACAACCCCCACCCGGTACATGAATTTTAATATAAATTATATAATAGTAATAATAAAAATAAAAAAACTTAAATAAATAATAAGAAATAATATATTGATCAATAAATAATTGTATTAATTACGTGGGCTCGGGATGAAAAAGTTTTTACCTTATGTAGTCGACAAACGTATTTTAGAATAACATTCTACTCAAGCAAGACATTCATATTTAATTTTATCATATTATCGAGTAAAATTTACTAACTATTAAGTTATATTGATATTGACATCTTAGCGCTAATTATTTGTTTTCTGATTATTTTCATTCCAAGCCCCCGCACAATATCAAATTAAAACACCTACAAATCGTTTATACTACAGTTAAGGTTTAAACACAAAATATCGTAATTACTGTTATAACTCGCAAACGTGGTGACGAGGCGCTTCGCGTGAGTTCTAACAGAAGCACGATAATTGTATTGTATAACTCTCTACAAAATAGATGACACGTTGTACGCCGTCGAAGTTAGGCGATATGTATGTTTAAAAAATATACATTAAAGTAATAACGTAATAACTAAGCTAATAATGATATTTCGTTTGATTTGATCGCGAGACCTTAATCTTGTACATGTAACATATAATATGAAATTAAGTGATCTATATGAGTTTATGACATGATGAACCGTCTTGTGAATACAAGTGCTTACGGAGTGAAAACGTGTACTATGACGATAGAAATAATTGGCAATGATGGTATGGCTGGTGACGACGATGATGTTATGACGATGAAAAATGAAAAATGATGATGGCTTATGATTGAGATGAAATTCGTTAAAAATAATAAAGCTCGGAAAACGTAACAACGTGATTGTGAAGAACACGAGACCGCGGGAGACAATTAATGCTTTTGGGAAGACGATAGTGATTGTGCGCTATTGCCGTGTAGGTACAACGTTATGCACATGAAAACGTACGATGGTATAAATCACTCTCGTCCTGTGCTGCGAATATTTACGCGCGTCTGTTATGATCACACGCGTTATGCATTTATGTTAATAGATTGGGCAAACCATCCGTGTTGTGCATATGCACGTGCTATGGCCACGGAGTTAAGTTATTTCACGTTGTTAAGCGTAAAACGTAATAATGGTTTTAAAACATTATATAATTTTGCGTGAAATGAAATGTTGATTGTCTGTTTCACTTGCAAGTCTTTTACGCGTGACTATAAAATAAAGTTTCATTAGAAAATTACGTAATATTATATTTGCACTAAAACTGCACACATCGTAAACGCTGGGCTTTTTTTTAATGCCACGCGAGATGTTTACGACGCGTGCAATTTTAATAAATCCCCGTGCACAGGTGTTTAAATTTAACGCTAATGGCTATTTCGGATTAACTTGCGACACGGCATATTCGCAACACCATTAGATTGATCGAATCTCAAAAGCTAAACGTGCTATTTTCGTTTCTGGTGCGTTACACACGACACGAAGTTTGACTATTAATACACCTTCCGACTAACTATCAATAATATTAATAATAGGTAATAATAATAATAATAATAATAATAATAATAATAATATTAGAATACTTCAACCTGTTTAAACATTGATTACAATTATTATTATAATATGACTACACGTGGTTATGACTTCAATTATTGTAATCATAATAGGTGGAGCCGGACGGTGCTCAGCAATTTGAAATAACATGTCTCAATCGATGTAGGCGAAATTTTGAGTGTGAAATTATAACTTTTTAGGTTCTTGCGGTTGCACCGATTTATGAATTTTAATGAAATCGCTATGACATTATTACAAATCTACACGATGAAGCATAAAAGTTAATTTTTTATTTGTTCATACGTCTCTTATGCGAACGATCGCGTACCGGCTCCACCAGTACGATTGTTACAACTATTTAATACGATTACGGGGGGGGGGGGGGGGGGGATTATTGAACGTAAAAATAAATAAGAATTAGATTATGACTATATTACGTGGATAACGATATACGCGGTTATGGCTGTGCGACTGGCAAGTACACGATATTATGCGATTTCCGCGTGCGGAATGACGATGATTGTGCATATGACGACGACGACGACGCTAATGATGGGCGCGATGTCCGTCGGGTTCAATACGAAGGGTCCGATGACGGTGAACCGTCGTCGTTCGGAGCGGCGAAACTCTGAGGGGCAAAGCCTGGCGGTCCGGCGGAAAACCCTTGAAGCTCGGCGTTGAAGCCCGGTGGTCCGTCGTTGAAGCCCTGCGGTCCGGGGTTGAATCCCTGCGGAGATGACGGCGACGGCGGCGGCGAAGCTATCAGATCCGACCCGGGAACGAAGCCGAGCGGTGGCGCGGCCGTAGCGAATCCCGGCGAGTCGGCTGCCTCGACGAAGCCCTGCGGCGGCGGTGGGACAACGTGAAAATCGGCTGCGTCGTCCTTAAACATACACGTCGATCGTTCGCACATCAAAAGTCACGTAATTTTGTAATCCCTCGTCGTCGTCGTTGTAAACGTCACACACACACGTGTTCGATTCGAATAGTAAACGTGCGACGTTTTGTTCAAGTCTTGCACCTGGTCGTCGGTTAACGCGTTTTATTCCAGCGGTAAACAACGTGTGCCGTCCGATCGGTAATCGCAGAACCGACGCGTGTAATATGCAAATACACTACCACTGTTACCGCACGTCCGTCGAGTACGCATAATATACGCAGCCGGTTCGTATTACGATTTTAGTCGGACTTTTAGTTTTGTCAAGTTTCTTCTCGGTGACATTTTCGTTGTTGCGTCAAATCGATTATCTCGTTGTTTTTTTATAGAGTCGTTTGTACACATTTTTGTTGTCCGGTTTTGGTGACTTGTGTTTTATTTTTTTTATAATATCGGTATACGAATTTGTGAAAATGAAATTTAATATTTTTATCGTACACTCGTTATTTTCAAATGTCGTCATCGCCGTCGCCTATCATTTGTCTCTTACCCCGTCGTAGTCGTCGTCGTGTATCATAATTGATATTAATAATGTCGTCACCGCCGTTGTCATGCACGCGCGCATGTGACACAATAACCTCGCATTTTATCGTCGTCGTGTTACATATTATTATAATCTTTAATGTTTATTGTTTTAATAACGTTAAATCATCTTACACGATCATCGCATACGCACTACAACATTATTCGTACCCACACTGATACACGATACATGTAAATATGTACCGCGTAATATTACGAGTTGGTAGAATAATGCGTTGTTGTATTGTTTTGGAGAAGAAAAAGACAAAATTCGAAGCTGAATGTAATAATAATTTTGGTTTGGTCTAAGGCGCTAGTGACAGTAATAGTGGTGTTAACGCGGGCGGTTAGTAATAGTAAATAGTGCATGGATACGGTTTTTAATAATATATATGTATTACGTTATATTATGTGAACGTAACACTGTGGTGAATGTCGTGCATAGGTGTAGGTAGTGTTTATATGGTTTGATTTATTATTATGATATGATAGCGTACAGTGGTACAGTGGTACAGTGGTACAGCGTACAATGGATTTAGGTACTCTAATATATATATGTACACGCTATCGAGATGAAATCCATTCCTCGTTTCACCCAGAATTTATAATAAACTCAAATCCATTATCACTTTAAATCACTTTCTATCCTTCTTGCGATCGACTTTAACTCTGTACATTTAACCCAAAACAAAACTCTGAACTTGTTAAGTATCTGAACGGCTTGTTCCACGTGAAACGAAATATTTATGATATCTCATATCTTAATAAATATAAAAAAAATGCGACTGTTTCAATAACTTAAATTGTTAACGATTTAATATATTTTTTTAATATATAATAGACATATTAGTTAAAAAAAACTATTTCAATATTTTTGTAAGATTTTAAATTCGTTATTGTCTATACCTACCTCTCTCTCTATATATATAAATCTTCCTCCCCTCCCCCCATTAAAACACATTAAGATTACAAAGTTTACGAAATCGAAACGCCAACATTTTTCTAAGATCTCCAGATTTTCCCGATAGGCCCTCAAAAAAAAAAAAAAAAAACAAAAATAAACGTTCAGGCTGTATAAACCAAATACGTATCGTATTGTTTTGCCATACCCTGAACGACTCACACGTTCATATCTTCATCGCGATCGTCTCTACCGCAAACTCATCTCTCGTGTACATATATATTCGTGCGCTATGCGTCGTACGTTCTAATGTAACGCTTACCTTGTTTCCGACGGACCCAGAGGAGGGTTTCGACGACAGCACCGGCGACAAGAACTGCGCGTTCTTCTGCTTGTTCCGCTGGTCGAGGTTGCTCAGCAGGCGGGTCTTGAAGTCGATCACCTGGTTGATTTTCTGTGGCACGGGAAACGGAAAGAAAATCGCAAACCGTTAGTACGTGTCGTTGTTTCCGATTCGACGCGGCCCCGGTTCACCCGTTACGGGCGACGGCCGCGGCCACGACTTACCTGGAACAAGAAGTTGAGTAGCACCGCCTTGACGCCCAGCGCGGTGGCCGCCTTGATCGTCACCTTGGTCACCTTCTTCACGGCTTTCAGGCCGACCGCGCCCACGCCCAGCGCTTTGGCGCCCACACCGACCGCCTTGGCGCCCAGCTTGGCCCCGGCCACCAGCTTGGACCCGGCGCCCAGCGCCAGCTTGGCCGGCAGCACGACCAGCGGTTTCAGTTTGAGCAACGTCCTCTTTCGCCGGACGACGGTTCGGCCCGGGGACGCATCGACGGCGGCCGGAGCGTCGCGCCGGAACCGCGCGGCCGGACCATCGGGGCCGCCGGCCACCGATACCGACGAGGGTGGCGGACGAATTGCGGACGCCCCGGCCCCGGATGGTGCGCAGCTAAGGGTTACCGCTACTATCAGCACCAGAGCGGCCGTCACCGTGAACACGGAACACTGTTGGCCCGATGGCGTGCTGCGCGGTACCATGTTTCGGGCGCCGACGGTGATCGTTTAATCTGGTAAACGTTGCGCCAGCTGCCGCAAACCTGTGAACAACGTACACTGTATAGACGCACGTGACATTTCACATCTCATATCCCCTCCGGGACGAGTGTCGAACATTTTAATGGACTATTTTTCGTTCGATTCGTCGTGTCAAAAAAAAAAAATAAGACAATAACCTATCCGGGAGAAACGTTAATTTATTCGTGATGGAGGAGCTTTTACTTTAATTTATATTTCAACGGTCGTAATACCGTCAAGGGTTCGCCTCTTTCCGCAGTTTCGGCAAACAACATCCCACGTTCGCGTTTCTATAATATTTCTGGCGTCAAACCCGACTAGATACGAGAAAACACGGTTATTACAAATATTTAGCGTGCCTGTTTCCTTCGTGCCAACCAGTCATTATCCCATATCCAGAGAAAAAAAAAGAAAGATTAATAACCTTCCACAGTTAATATAATGCTTATCAATTTACATTCAAATACAGCTCGAATCATATCACCGCAATATTGTTAAATCCTGAACTAAAATGTTTTATTTTAAACGTTACATGGTACTCAAATTAATGTAATATAAAATTGTCACGGTTTTAAAACACGTGCATTAACAAATACAAATGTTTATGATCGGAGATATGTTATAGAAACAATTCGGGCAGAGAAAATAACTTACGATATCGCATCATTACAGAGTATATTATTTTGTTGGCAGTGGTAATCAAAAACTGACATCACTTCACATTAAAAGACATTACTTAAAAAATATCGAATGTAATCAACACGTTTTAAAAATACAAGCGTTTCATCGAGTATAGTAAAATATTGCCTCGATAGTCCACAAAAATGTTTGGGTTGCCAAAGATATCTCGCAATATCCATTGGTCATGTCTACCGCCCGAGCCCTTTTCTGAAAAAACATTTCTGTACGAATCCTGTCTACGTCCACGGATATGGTTCAACACAGTATGATCACTATCGTTGTACCAATCATTGGACGAACAATAAATATCTATGCTCATATTGTGCACCGTCGCGTAAATCGTAGAAGCTCGCGATAATAATAATACAGTTTTGTGCAAAATAATTTTTGAAATAATTTGAAATCTTTCAATTGAATTCGGAAGTGTACCCGTTTTGGAATTGTTCAAGTGCAATTCGATACAATATACTACTACTATCATGTGCTACGGGCTTAACACGTGATTTATACGGCTAATTATAAGAATATGTTTTGATCAGACCCGCTGGCGTAAATCGTGCTCTCATAATTATGTTCTATCGACATCATAATACTGATACTATGTGTACATAGAGATTGACTCGTTATTGCAGTGGTGATTTGGTCAGGTTTTTTTTCTACGAGTTGGATTTGCGGGGCCGACGACGGTTTTTTTTTTTTTTTAATCGACCGGTTAAAATATATATATTCTAATGAGATGAGTGAAGCAACAGTAAAAGCGACGGTGGGCGGCATCTGTGCACAGGTAATACGATATTACGGTGTACGCGCGAAATAATATCCAGGCGGTCGGTTAGCGAAACACCGGTGTACGTATAAAAAAATCGCATAAATTACAGATTGACTCGTTAACCCGAATCGCGGCGGGCACCGTGAACCGTTTGCACACGTGTACGGCGACGGACCGATTGCGCAATTCGTAGACATTTGTGCGTTCAAGTTCCCGTCGCCAGTGCAACGAGGACTTTACCAACGATCGCGACCCGTTCTCGCCGCGTTTATAACGTCGTTTCAAGGGTTACAAATATCGAATAAAACGCGCTCGGTGCATCGTACGCATTGGAAAGTACTTCTTAAGTGTAAAGCTACGTTCTAGACGAAGCAACTATTGTCGCGCGGCAAATACGCGTCCACACGGTGCGGCATTTATTTTCCAATTTGTTTTAAAACAATAATAACAATAATAATAATAATAATATATTATTCATAAATGCTATAGATTTGAGTAATTTTTAATCGGCAACGAAGTGCACGAGATCAGCAAGTAATCTATATTTTTGAATCTAAAAAAACATGAAGTTAAGATTTATGAAAAATCATTAATAATCTTTGTATTTTTGAAAACAGAGAATCTTCAGTATCGACATTTTGATAGAATAAATAATAAATAATAAATTGTGTCTTCTGGAGATTACTACAAAAATCAGTTTTACCTCAGTGAAAAAAGCTTGTTCTGTTAATAATTACTTAAAAAGTAATTTAAATACCTACTTAAAAAATAAGTACTGATGCCGCGCGGCTTTCCTCTGATGTAGACCGCCTACAAAACCGATCGGAAATTATGCCACGTGGCAACAAAAAAAAGCCGCGGAAAATGTATTCATGTATTCACACTCATGCCGCTCGGCAAAAGCTGCTCCGCCTGGACGTGGCTTAAGACACGACGACGGCAACGACGAGGTTTTGCGGTTAACGCGGTGACACGGATCAATAACAGGCTGCTGTAATGTAATCCGGTGCCGTTGCAGTTGGTCACCGGTCGTGAGCACGACACGGCGGAGTCTTGTGCGCGTGTGTTCTCGATTTTTTATGATCGGCAAAAAGAAACCGGGGGGGGGGGGGGAACAGCATTTTTCGATTCGATGTTGTAACGCGCGTTGTATTAATATTAGTGTTTTTTTACTTTTAAGATTTTTTTATCGCAAACTGCAGAAACGCCCCTCGCGACGCCCCCGGGTTGATATGTGTGCACTTTCACTCAGCTGCAGTACCTACGCGTTGCAGTGCATCTAGATCGTAACGCGTTTTAAGTCGCCGCTGTACCACACGGAATGACCGGTTGCTCCGTGTCGGTTAACCGCGTGCAATTAAGGTCGTCGAATCACTGAATTTACCAGGATTCGGCTAAACACACACGGATTCGTCGTACGATAGTCTTTGACGCAATGATGGCCAATGATTCATCAAGGATAGGGGGAAGGGTGTAAAAAAACCAATATTATTACGAATTTCAATTTTATTTTTACAAATTAATTACAATTTTATAAATTAACGATCACCTCCATGACCAACTCACATTTGAATTATCACTTATTGACATACTCTTTTTTCCAACATATCAATCAATTCGAAAATCGCCGCCTTCCGATTAAAATGATAGGGGAGTAACGATCGGGTCTAGGAAGGCAACGGCCGCCTCCCTCCTCGCTTATGTAAGAAATATCGATAGTTGGTTTTTTAAACTCAACTCAACTACAGTTCCAGTTTTGTATTTTTTTTTTTTTTTTCTAGATCGCTTTATGCCGACAAAATAGGATTAATGTTCATAATTAATAACATGTTGGTCGTTAAAATGAAACAAACAAAAAAAAAAAAAAAATAATAATAAGTACAAACTCGTTCTTGATTTCAAAATAAATAAAAGGGAATGCGTGGCCCATTGAATACTTTCTTATGGTTAATTAACGTATACTTTTTCTCCACCCACTACAGAATGTGATAATTAATGACGTGCTACAATTATGTATAAACAATTGCAAAGGAGTCACTATGCAATAATACATATTTTATTGTTATACCGCTAGAAGACTAATAACACGTGTGCAATATAAATATTACCGGATAATTGTTGTTTAGTTTTAACATGTTTTATGTTACTAAACAAAAACTTGTTATTATACTCGAGTGTGTGTTGGTAAAATATATTTATTTTTATTAAAACTCGTTACATAATATACTTTTACATGCTTTACGTACTGTAATCGTACATATTGTAATGTATTACTTCATGAAACTATAGAAATGTGTATGAAGTACTAGTGATTTATCTATCTTGAACTCGATACAATATCATTTTATGAATTTTATGAGAATCGAATGATATTGAAATAATATTTTTAAGAAAGAATTATGCGTGGAAATGAAGCTTAAATAGAGCTGCAGTCATAGACGTTCACCCGGCCAACCCTTGAAATGTTGTAAATGGAGTCCTACAAGGTAAGTATAAAAGTAAGGGGCCTGTATTTTAACTGATGTTGCTCAAATAAATTAAATGTAATTTATTCTAAATTGTTTGGCAAAAAATATGTTTCGTAATAGAAAAATAAAATTACTTTTTTTACGTTTTCATGCAAAAACTTCTCATGATAATATAAAAGCAGCTACAATCGATAAAAAAAGTACAAATCATAAATAATTGAAGATAACTGAGTAAAATGGACGAAATTCAAGGAAAACATGATCATCGGGACTAATATATCACAATATTAAATAAAAAAAATCAAAGACGTTTATTTAATTATTTATGCATTAGAATTTTTAAAAAAAACCTACACGTTTTGTTAAGATAAGACCTAAAAGTGTTGTAGGTACCTCCAGAGCCAGCCCAAATGGTTTTCAGGGTACAGAATTTCTTCATGCATAATAATTTATTAATAATTTATATAAATCTATATTTATTGATTTTATTACAAAACTAAATATATACGATAACTATATTTCGAACCGTCATCGACGATAAACAATTTTACAAGTACGTGCGCGTATAATACCATATGGCTATGTATTATGATTGGTACTGTCTTAATTTTCGTAGATAGCAACCCGTGTCCTGAGAAAACCATACGACCACACGGGTCTCGATTTGCGTTCTACTAGGACTATATTATTTTATTATATTTAAAGTGATGTTCGTAATATATAATTTGTGGGGCCCGGTGTGGTCGTACCGCTTGTCCGACCCCAGGGCTGGCACTGAGTACCCCTTGAAACCCTGAGCTGCGCTCGCCTATTGGTGCAGTACACCACTAAAATAATCAAATTTTTGCGCCATTGCAACCAATTTAGAATCCAAGTGCACATAACAGAAAAGGCCTGACCAATCATCAAAGTTAAACTACAAATCTAGAAAATCTCCGATCAATGTCTTAATGGTACGTGAGTTATGACAAACGACCGAATAGTATGTTTTAAAAAAAAAAAACATTTGATATTAATCGATGATAACTGATGAACGAGCTAAAAAAAATTAATACACATCCGTTGTTTAAGTAGAAGCAATGAGTAAATTGAATAATTGTTTGGA